TGGAGTAGCTCCAAGTATCGCGCAGGTCGAGCGCCAATAAGCTATTCTGGAGCATTTCAAGACATTTCATCGGCCAGCGTTTAGGAATTTTAGAGTGGAAGTTCTCAAGTAATGCTTTCACCTTTTGTGTTGAAGAGCGTGACTGAACAAAGACACCATTTGACGATCTAGACCAGGAAAATTTCTCATTGGATGACCATCAGAAATTGTTATGTTAAGGTAATCGTTGATGAAGGTTAGTAGCCGACAGATACACTTAACATATTAACAGACAGTCAATATAAGCAACTGATCGATATTCTTAGCAAATATTCGCCTGTGGATGAGTGTTAAAATGGCGACATTAGGCAAATACTTCCGTGATTCGTTGAGGTGGAGGACCAACCAGCCAGCCAGAATCTATTGTAAAACATGTTGCTGTACCTTTAGTTAATACTTAAATCCGTACTTGAGGTGATTATGTTTTTTTTTTGTATTGCTTGTATTGTTGCCAGGTGTTGTGTGGCGGTGATAGTGTGTTTGGTGGTGTGGTGGCGATACAGTGTCTAGCGGTCATGGTAGTGGTGGCCAGGCAGACGTGAGAGCTACCTTGTTTATTTTAGTTCGACGGAAACTTTGTAGCTTCTTACATTTTCTCTCTTCTCTCACTCATTCTTTCTTTCGTTTTAGCTCTCTGTTTCTTTCTCTTGCCTATTCCCCCTTTTCTCTTTATCTTTCTTCATCTCTTTTCTTTTATCTTCATCTTTCTTCAATTGTCTCTTCCTTTAGCTTCGTTTCATCGTCACACTTGAAACTGCTACTCTGTGTTTATTCACGCTCAGGTCAGGTCAGGTCAGGTAAAGTAAGGTAAAGGTAGTTTAGATTAGGCTATACTAGGCAGAGTTAGGCTAGGTTAAGTTTGATTTAACTTTGCAACGTTGAGTTAAGTTAGACTGAGCTAAACTGAGCTAGGTTCGACTGGATTTAAGTAGGCTAAAGGTAAACTAAGGTGAGATAAGGTAAACTGAGGTAAAATAAGGTAGAATAAAGTAAGATAAGGTAAAATAAGGTAAGATAAGGTAAACTAAGATAAGATAAGGTAAACTAAGGTAAGATAAGGTAAACTAAGGCAAGATAAGGTAAACTAAGGCAGGTAAGGGAGGGGGCTCCTCGACATAGGTCACCTTCAATGTACCGATTTTCTCTTATACAACACTGGCCGGGCGTCTTCCTTCCCTTGTGCAGTTGTCACACTTTTAACTAACCTTACCTTACCTTGTTTAATATAACCTAAACTTTCCTTGCCTAACCTTACCCTACTTTACCTAACCCTACTTAATCTAACCTTACCTTACTTCGTGGTCTTCTAACACTTATGTCTAATCTAACCTTTTATCTGATCACATGAAGTTTAGTCACCTCACCTTATTTCACTTGATAATTAAACACCCTAATGCTAACGTAACCTAACCCCTCCCCAAGATACCGCTAAGGTGTTTAATAATTTTCAACAGTTTATTCCATATTATTGGAAACGAGACCCGAGTGCTGTCACTAGGTATCCCTGTAGTACAGTGTTACCAGAAGCATCTGGCAGGAGTCTCCAGTACATATAAATCAAATAATATAAAGGAGCTTACTACAGCTTAAGGAAGGAAATAAGGACAATCCTTCACATTAACATTAGTATTATTTAAGAAATATTTGGCCATCATGAAAGTGATAAGCATCGTGACTCCGCCAGGAGGTCACTAGTGGTGATTCAGCAGGCGTCACGGAAGTGCAGTGTGTGGCGACATTTCCGGATGTAGTGGATAAATGTGTGGCTGTCTGTTCTCTTGCATGATTCACAATCACGTTGCTCGGGGGAGGTGGAGATACCAATCTCCCAAGCAAAATCGTACCGGATGAGGAGTGGAGCCCCAAACACGTCTCTCTTTCGCGACCCTTCCCCGTTCACACATGAGAAGTCAGGAAGTTTACGGAGGGCATCGTACCAGGTGGGCGGGGAGACGAGAGGAAGGGCTGCCTCCCGAGCCCCTCTGTGTGTGTGTGTGTGATCAAATTGTATTCTCAGTTGTCGAAGTGTTCCAGGTACAACATAACCCAAGTGTAACCTCCGTTAGAACTGGTAAAGCGGGTTATATCCGCCTCCTCGTTCCCCGACGTACCGACACGGTTGGTATCCACCGGCATGTTCACTAGGTGGGCTGCATTCTGAGGTGATGACGTCAGCCCTTGTCCTTTTAATCCGCTGATAGTATTGAATGATGTAGTGAAGGCAGTTATTCGTTTTGTCTTTATTCACTTTTTTGAATCCATTTTTAGTTTATATTTTTTATTAACTTGAACGTATTGTCTTTAAACTGTTGTATATTATTTTTTGTTTGATATTGTTTATGTTATTGTTTGTTATTTTAGATTGTTTTATTTCTTGTCTATGTATTTATTGTATTTCATTTATTTATTAATTTATTTGAAGTTATTTCGTGTGTGTGTGTGTGTGTGTGTGTGTGTGTGTGTGTGTGTGTGATATTCATTTATTTACATCATTGACGAGGTGGTGACGGCAGTTAGTGTACAGAGTGAGTTAAAAGTTTATACCACTGGAGGAATTATTTATGTTTTTGTTATTTTAAGTATTTGAGAGAAAGTAAAATAGTAAATAAAGGTGTTTTTGTCTCGTAAATACTATCAACGCTTGTGGTGAACCCTGGAGCTATTAAGTGCGCGTGGAGGTAGTAGGTAATGTGGTCTGCCTGCCTAATATCTCTCTCTCTCTCTCTCTCTCTCTCTCTCTCTCTCTCTCTCTCTATTTATAAGAAGAAAATTCGAAGGTAATTCTTTTGGTGGCAGATTTTCTTTATTTTTTTTTTACACTGCAAGTTAGGTTAGGTTAGGTTAGGTTAGGTCTTGTTAGGTTAAGTTTTGTTAGACTAATTACGTTAAGAATTGGCTAAGTTAAGGATCTATTAGGATTAGTTAGGTTAGGTTCCAGGTGTGAATGGGAACTAGAGAGAGTTCCGGGGGAAGTTACGTCAGCAAGGAGGAAGGTGAGAGTGTGTGGGTGGGAGAGTTGGCCGCCAGCCACCACACACTGTACCAGAAATATCTCCGTACCGGCCTTCGACACCCTCACCCCGAACACTCACCCCGAACACCTCTCCCACTCCCCCTGAACACCTCCTCACCCTGAACACTCCTCACCCTGAACACTTCTCACCCTGAACACTTCTCACCCTGTACACTCACCCCTGAACACCTCACCCTGTACACTCCTCACCCCTGCAAGGCCTCACCCCTGTACACTCTCACCCCACACCTCACCCCTGAACACCTCCCCACCCCTGAACACCTCTCCTACCCCCCGAACACTCTCCCACCCCCCGAACACCTCTCTCCACTCTGAACACCTCTCCCCACCCTGAACACCTCTCCCACCCCCGAACACCTCTCCCCACCCCTGAACACTCTCCCACCCCCTGAACACCTCTCCCACCCCCTGAACACCTCCCCACCCCCTGAACACCTCTTCCCACCCCTGAACACCTCCCACCCCTCTGAACACCTCTCCCCACCCCCTGAACACCTCTCCCACCCCAACACCTCTCCCACCCCCGAACACCTCTCCCCACTCCCTGAACACACCTCTCCCCACCCCTCGACGATTTCTCCCCACTCCTGAATGACCTCCCCCACCCCTTCGAACACCTCACCCCGAACACCTTCCCCACACCTAACACCTCCCCCACCCCTAACACCTCCCCCCACCCCGAACAAGACGTGGTGGAGGAAGGAGATGCCATTATTGGGTTCTGCTCTTGATAAGGGAGATGGATTCTTACAGTAACGTCTATGGCATTTATAACCCAACCCGATCCATGTCAAACCCATATCAACCCCCCTTTCCATTCTAACCCCACAAACTTAACTAAACCTCAAACCTAAACCCAAAATCACAACCTTAAACCAAATAACTCAATCTTATCTTACCGGGAATAACAGCAATAGTATATAGTCAGCCGAGGTGATGGTGGTATGGGGGTACGAGTGTTCTGATATGGTGGATATTTGGTCCGTTTGTTTACTGTTTGTTACATGGATGCATAACAATCAGGAGTGGTTGCTGTGTGTTTTACCATCACAACATAGTCCTAGCTGGCACCTACCACCACGCTCTGTTCCCTGCTCCACCACACCCATCCTGGCACCATCACCACGCCACACGCCTCTGCCAACTCAACTCTCCCCTTCACTCCCTTCTGCCCTGTCTCGTCACGCCTTGCCCCCTCCTCTGCCCAGTCTTGCCACACCCTGCACCAACACGCCCCCTCTTGTTGTGTTTGGAAAGTATTTGTGGACCTCGCTCGTGTGTGTGTGTGTGTGTCGTGAGGGGGAAAACACAGTTTGACCTCAATCAGTCGTCCTGGTGCGAGTGACTCATTAGTGCTCTGAATTATGAAACACATTCCTAAACATCCTGTGTGTGTGTGTGTGTGTGTGTGTGTGTGTGTGTGTGTGTGTGTGTGTGTGTGTGTGTATATATATTACAGAGTAAGTTGTATAAAAGACACCTACTCATGTCACTGCAATGGACTGGTCATCAACCCCATTAGTGTACTGCACCATTACCCTTTTACCATATTTAAAAATTACATATGTAAATCTGTTGGATAAATTAAATCTTAAAGGAATTATAAAAATAAATAAAATTTGCATATTATGTGAGTAATGAAGGTAATTCAAAGTGTATAAAATGCTTAATAATGGAAAAGAAAATAATATTGGCAACTTTTGTTTGTCGCGCCACGTGCACCTATTTTCTCTAATACATTCATGTATTTTACTCAAGGACAAGAATCAACAAAAATCTCGCGGGCCGCACTCTGAATCTTGATGGGCCGCAGGTTGGCCACCCCTGTAGATCAGTGGTGTTATTAAATGTGCTCACGGGGTTAACACATACTCAGTCTTGTCACCTGCCAACAGTCTATACTAATATGCCTTTATCTTTGTTACAGATCTTGGAAGAAGAAGGCGCCTCTGCCCGTCTGTGTAAGTGTTTCTTTATTTTAGTCTTTTGAGATATAAATGTCTCCTCTTGTATTATGGTCACCAGTATTATAAGAGATAGTCACTTCTTGTTGGTGTAACCTCTCAGTGGTGGAAGTTAAAAGTTTGGTGTGGATGAAAGGTCGAGAGAGAGAGCCACTCCCACCGTCAGAGAGACAGACAAGTGAGAGGGATGAAAGTGGTGCATTATGGCGCTAACGTATAAGAGCTGCCTTATTAAGTGAACCTCAGCAGGAATTTCAATATTGCCAGGTGTGTGTGTGTGTGTGTGATGATAACGGTTTATTGAAAGAGCATGGCAGCCGGAAGGCTGAAAATATACAGTTATATAATTGGGGAATGGGTCTCTTGATTTACTAGTAATATACAAGTAACATAAGTGATACAAATATGATATATAATAACGAGGTGGGGAGAAGCTCAAACTACAGTGCATTTCAACATAGTGACAGTGCAAAAAGTAAGATTGACTGGGAGTGAATACACTGGTTGATTACAAGTTATTGATAATTTTTACAATGATTGGGACTGGGCTGTTCTTACAGCGATCAGTTCGTGCTCGTATGGGCTGGATGCGGTTGTGGTGTCGAGCAGCAATTCTCGGGCGAGGGATCTCAGATGGTAGTAGGAGCCGGTGTCGAGAATGGTGCAGAAACTTCTCGCCAAATTTGCAGATGAGGTCGTGGTGATGGTCAGTGAGAGTCGAGAGGGTCAGTGTGTTGAGCGCTTCTTGATATGTGGAGTAGGAAGGGGAGAGAATAATCTTGCATGCCCTCTTTTGCACTTTTTCTAGGTGTTTACGTTGTGTGGAATTTAGGGAGGAAGACCAGGTAGGGGAGGCATAGGTGAGCTTGGGAAGTATGAATGTTGAGTAAACACTGAGGAGCTCGGGTGCAGGAACTCCGAGGGACTTGAGTCGGCGGAGACGGAAACTGGAGGATTTAACAACTTCACTGACGTGTGGTTTCCAATTTAGTTTGTTGTCTATGGTGACGCCGAGGAGCTTCGTGGAATCTCTAACCTGGAGTGTGTTGGGACCTAAAGTAATGGAAGGGGGTGCGACAACGTCGGAGTAGAGGTTGATGTGCATAACCATGGTATTGGTATGGTTGATGGTGACGTGGTTGTTGGTGGCCCAGTTTTGGAGACTGTTCAATAAATCCTGAAGGGCGGTATAGTCGGGAGCAGAATTGTTGACGCTGATCCCAATGGTGGAGTCATGTGTGTGCTATGTATGAGGGTGTGTGTGTATGAGGGTGTGTGTGTGGGGGTGGCTTTCTCTCAAAAGGTTTCCTGAAGGGTGTCATAACCCTTTGGAGTCCTCAAGGGTGTGAGCGTGGTACCTACACTATCTGTACCTCAGTGTAACGTGATCAAGCTTTATTTTTTAGCAGTGCGGGAAAAAAAAAGGTTATTTATAGATCAGCTTTAATACGCGAACACTTGATATTATTGGTGTTGTTATTACTGTTGTGGTTGTGAGTAGGGTTATATTTGGTCTTATTTTTTCTTCAGTTCTCGTTAGACTACTGGTATTGGCCTATAACCTTAACCTTTTATATAACTTCGGTGTTGTTGTTGTTATTATTGTTTTTACCTGGGATGACCAAAGGAAGGATTTTCACAACACCATCATAACACCACAACCTTCATAATATTATCACCACAAAAAAAATTTACGCTGGTCCTTTCTGTGTGTGTGTGTGTGTGTGTGTGTGTGTGTGTGTGTGTGTGTGTGTGTGTGTGTGTGTGTGTGTGTGTGTGTGTGTGTGTGTGTGTGTGTGTGTGTGTGTGTGTGTGTGTGTGGATGCGGGGGTTCACGACCACCAATTATATTTATTTGGCCAGACCTGAACAACATCTGCTGGTCTCTCTCTCTCTCTCTCTTCTACACACACACACACCTGCACCTTTTACACCTGGTGGAGTTTTTAGTCAACACCCGCGTTTGGCCTTGCTGCGCTTAACACACCTGCCTGACCCTCCTTACTTCCCATTCTCACCTAATTTCACCCTCAGCCTCCTCCTCTCCCAATACCTCCTGTAGGGTCAAGAAGAGGTACTGGTTATAGAGGTGTGTAGGAATGACTATCTTGTTGTGTGGTGGTTGTTGTGGTAGTTTGTGGTGGTTGTTGTGGTGGTGTGTAGTAGTGGTGGTTGTTGTGGTAGTGTGTATGATGGTTTTTGTGGTAGTGTGTATTTTAGTTATGGTAGCGTGTGATAGTGGTCCTGGACACACACACACACACACACACACTCGCACGTCACTAAGGCTGCAACAGTTATGATCGGACATAATTAACACCATTTAAATAGATTCAGCATTAATAGATCACGTGGAGGAAATATTTTTTACTCACTCATAAATAATCTCCCCCCTCCGCCAGATAAATTGAAAAACCTCGCTTATGTTAAAGTTTTTGCGTGTGGAGGTGGGAGGGGTGGGGTATGTTGGGGCACTGAAGTGTACACTGCACACCCTCCCTTACGCTCGGCCATAAGTTCAGTAGCTGCTTATCTCTCAGACATCCTGGTTGAGGGGCGTTTGTTTACGTTCTCACTTCCCCCCCTAACTGGACGTGATAGAACACCACTAACTGGTTCACACTTCTCACTTAACTGGAGGTGATAGAACCCCACTAACTGGTTCACACTGGGTCACTGGTTCCACACTTCTCTCACTGGAGGTGACAGAACCCCACTAACTGGTTCACACTTCTCACTTAATTGGAAGTGACAGAACCCCACTAACTGGTTCACACTTCTCATTTAACTGGAGGTGATAGAACCCCACTAACTGGTTACCACTGGAGGTGACAGAACCCCACTAACTGGTTCACACTTTCACTTAATTGGAAGTGACAGAACCTTAATTAACTGGTTCACACTTCTCACTTAACTGGAAGTGATAGAACCCCCACTAACTGGTTCAATAAAACACCTTAAATATAGCACCAGTTAGATACTCTCTTAAATTATCAGTTACGAGGAAATATTTTACGACCTTTCGAGAATCTGTGTTTGTATTGCCGCTTCTCACGTCACTAGTTAAAGGAAATTTATACGTTACGAACCTTTGAAAAGCCCATCTGTACCCCTTAGCTTAACCATTTGAGTCAGGGGGGTTAAATCATCGACTTCAAAGGGTTAAGTGAACGAGTCAGGGTACGTGTCGCAACTTAAGTGTCTCGCCTAGATGTCGTAAGTGAACACTGTGTGGTTCTTATGTGTGGTAGGAGGTATATGTGTGGTAGGTGGTACACTGTGTGGTTCTTGTGTGGTAGGTGGTACACTGTGTTATGTGTGGTAGGTGGTACACTGTGTGGTTCTTGTGTGGTAGGTGGTACACTGTGTGGTAGGTGGTACAGGTGGCACTTGTGTGTGTGGTAGGTGGTACACACTGTGTACACACTGGTGGTAGGTGGTACACTGTGTGGTAGGACCGGGTGTTGAGTACATCTTCACCTCTCTGGGCAGGAGTAAGGGCGTATCGATCCTGGTGAGGGGCTGTGGTGTAGTGTGTGATGTGGTGTGGTATTATGGTGCAGTTGTGATATAGTGTTTATTTTGTTGTGTATTGTGATGTACAGTTGTGATGTAGTGTGTGGTGTGATGTGGTATTGTGACGTAGTGTGTGATGTGGTGTGGTATTATGGTGCAGTTGTGATAAAGTGTTTATTTTGTTGTGTATTGTGATGTACAGTTGTGATGTAGTGTGTGGTGTGATGTGGTATTGTGATGTAGTGTGTGGTGTGATGTGGTATTGTGACGTAGTGTGTGGTGTGATGTGGTTATTGTGGTGTAGTGTGTGGTGTGATGTGGTTATTGTGGTGTAGTGTGTGGTGTGATGTGGTTATTGTGGTGTAGTGTGTGGTGTGATGTGGTTATTGTGGTGTAGTGTGTGGTGTGATGTGGTATTGTGGTGTAGTGTGTGAAGAACATAAGAAAATAAGGAGTCTGCAATAGGCCGGTTGGCCTGTGCATGGCAGCTCCTGTCGAGAGTTACTACCACTCTCTATGATCCATGAATCTATCTAGCCTCCTTTTAAAACTTTCCAGCGTTCCAGCACTTACTACTGTACAAAGTTGCTAAGCTTGTTCCACTCGTCCACCACCCTATTTGTGAACCAATTCCTTCCTATCTCCCTCCTAAACCTAAACTTATCCAACTTAAATCCGTTGTTACGAGTCCTATCCTGCTCGGATATTATAAGAACTTTATCTATATCCCCTTTATTGATTCCTTTCACCCACTTAAATACTTCTATCATATCTCCCCGCACTCTTCGTCTTTCTAGGGAATGCAAGTTTAGTTTCTTTAACCTATCCTGATAGGGAAGGTTTCTAAGTCCCGGAATCATGTTCGTCATTCTTCGCTGCACCAACTCTAGTGAATTTATATCCATTCTATAATAAGGGCACCGGAACTGAACCGCATAATCGAGGTGCGGCCTGACTAGCGCAAGATATAGTTGCAATAAGACCTCTGCACTCTTATTACTTGTACTTCTAGATATAAAACCCAATACTCTGTTTGCCTTATTTCGAACATTAACGCACTGTGTTCTAGGCCTTAGGTCCGGGCTTACAAGTACCCCTAAGTCTCTTTCACAAGTCGACTTCTCTGGGTTGATGTTGTTAAGGCTGTTACATTGACAGTATTTGCTCTTCCAATATTAAGTACGCTGCACTTGCTGGTGTTGAATTTCATTTGCCATTTTTCTGACCACTCCTGCAGTTTATTTAAATCCTCCTGTAGTGCATTTACATCCTGCCCTGAATTAATCTGCCGCTCTATTTTGGTGTCATCCGCAAACTTGCTTATGTCACTGCTGATCCCAGTATCTAGATCGTTTATGTAGATTATGAACAAGAGTGGTCCCAGTACTGACCCCTGGGGAACCCCACTGGTTACACAGCCCCACTCAGATTTAACACCATCTACGCTGACCCTCTGCGTTCTATCGGTGAGCCATGATTTT